GAGAAGCAGGCTTCCCGCTGAGCAGGGATCCCGATGCGGGGCTCGACCCCAAGACCCTGGGATCAGGGCCCCAGCTGAAGGCAGACGCTTAACAACTGAGCCACCCAGGTGCCCCGGCTTCCTTCTTTTTCTGATCATTTTCCTTCACGCATTTTAGGAAACTATCTCGGTTTTTGGAGTTTTAGAGTGCTTCATATTCTCATTATGTACCTTAATTCTCTTGGCATGAATCTTGCCCTTAATTTTAGCAGGATGCATAACATTGTAGACTCAGTTTTGCCATGATAACATTTGTGGGACATTCCTTTTTAAACAGTGCCCATTTCCTTTATGTTTATAATATCTTAATTGTAGATTAACATGTACGTAGCTAAAGGAACAACTCCATGTTTTTTAAAAGGCCTAAAGAATGTATAGCTGGTGCCATTCCTCTTTCCCTTTGTGTTGGTAGTTCCAGCTGAAAATCCCCATTTTTTAATTGGCTTGTCTTTTTATTACTGAGTTATTCAGATCGTGTGGTTGTTTTAAAAATGGGTTGTTTTCTTATTACTGCATATTGGGTGTTCTTTACATATCCTGGATATGTCTTATTATGTATGATTTGCAAATATGTAGATTAGGAATAGTCTAAGGCTTATCTTTTTATTCTTTCAAAGAGCAAAAATTTTAAATTTTTATGAAATCCAATGTGTGAATTTCTTCTTTTATAGATCATGATTTTAGTTTTGTATCTAGGACATATTTGCCTAACCAAAATTCATACAAATTTTCTTCTAAAATTTTATAGTTTCAGGTTTTGCATTTAGACCTATATCCAATTTGAATTAAGTTTTGTATAGGTTAAAAGGTATGGATAGAGTGGTTGTTTTCTGCATAAGAATATCCAATTGTTCTAACACCATTGTTTTTAATACTTTGCTAAGTGGGATCAGAATAGTCACCACTACTGAGGCGATACCCTTTTGAGTAACTCTACCCAGTTCTCCAAAGCATGATATTTTAAATGTCAGGTGGTGGGAACACAAGCTATTCTTGTCCCTATGTGAGCACAAAAGATTGCTCAATTTCAAATAATTTTTCTCCAGCTTAATTTTTCTAAGTAGTTTCCTCACTTGCATTCAATGATCAGTACTTTGCAGAAGACTCAAGAGGGACCCTCCACAGATCTCAGGAGCTCTGTGCAGCTCTTTCCCTCTCTGTTATTTTTTCTCTGTGAATTCTAGCTGCCTTGGCCTCCTTAGACCCCCAGTTCTATTAGCTCAACTCAGGGAGATTTCTGGATTTTGCCTGGGTCCCCCTGGCTGTGCGATAGCTTAGAAATTCTCACCAGGCAGTAAGAAGGGTCGATCATAGGTATCTCACCTTTTTTATTCCCCTCTATCAGAAGTCACTATCTTGTGCTGCTTACTATTCAATGTCTGAAAACCACTGTTTCATATATTTTGTCTGAATTTTCAGTTGTTTTAGGCAGGAGGGTAAATTGAGTCTGTTACTCCATTTTGGTCAAAATTGGAAGTATGCCTTTATGGTTTGTAACTGCATTCATATTTATTTACATCTCACATTGTGTTAGATTTTTCTTTCATTTCACCAGTTCTTCTGCCATCACTGTCCTGTTTAAGATTTGTGGATTCTGTTCTTGCAAAGATCTCTATGGAGATTTAAAATATTCTTATATAAACTTTTTTTAATCACTTGTGTTTTTTGGTGTGTGAATTCACTGTTTTGCTGTGGATGTTGACATTAACTCTTAGTGGTTTGTAATCATAGATTCTTTTATCTTCAGTGTTTATTATTTTCTCATGAGAATTCTGCATGTTTTGTGTGAAAATAAATACATGTGGATTGTTTCACTTTTGCTTCTTTTATCAGTCAAAAATATTTTTTCTTTTAATTTGCATACATTTATTTATTTATTTATTTATTTATTTATTTTTTATTCTTATGTT